AGGTACAGTACAAAGGGATGGTTACACTACATACAGTAATAACAACATTGAGAGATTATCATTTATCTATATGTGCTGGACACTACACTGCTTCATGAAGTCTGCTCTACTTCCCAGACTGAGTCTATGAAGACGCTTGTGATCAGAGCCCTCGCTGACACCACACTGGAAGGAGATGAGCACTTCACTGTCCGTCTGTTTCCTGCTGGCAGTGGGGCTGTCATCGACCCCTTAAATGGTCAGTATTTATTTAAAAAACATCACCGCCCGTACATTAGTTGATGAAGAATAAGATCTGAAAACTGGTAGAAACACTTAGGAAGAGCATTGAAAGGAAGAAGAATTTCAATCGAATCAATTGAGTCTTGACATATTTGAAAAAGTTCCCTGGAGATCAGTAAAAATCCAGCCCCTTCTTCTTGATCTACTTAAAGGGGACCTATCATGCAAAATGCACCTTTGTACGTCTTTTATACATGAATATGTGTCCCCGGTGTGTCAGGGAACTCACCAAGTGTCAGAAAACACAACCCTCTCTCTTTTCCTCCATACCCAAATCTCTTAAAAAGGGGCTGCAACAGATCTGATACAGACTGATCCAGATTTGAACACTTCTATGACGTCACAGAAGTGGCGCAACGGCTATTGGGCCAACTCCACCAATCAGGAGGAGACAGCCACGGACATTGCCGTTCGAAAGCGCTGGAGACGCTGTAGTACATATTTCAGGCCACCAGATGGTGCTGTTCTCACTGAATCCGAGCATGAAAGACAGTATTAAATTGAGCGAAATGAGGAATGGATAAAATGCATGATCTGTTTGGTATTTTGAAAAATAAAACGTATAAGTATACCTTATATATGTATGGTCCTACACTATATTATTCAAATATAGCATGATAGGTCCACTTTAATATTGGAAGTACCCCTATACCTTTGCTTCATGTATTTTCAAGTGTGACTCAAGTGAATCAAAAACGAATGTCAATGTGAAGTCAACTTCAAAGTCAAAGTCAGCTTTATTGTCAAGAATTCTACATGTTTATAGATACAGAACATTTGAAATACCGTTTCTCGCAGTCCCACAGTGTGACACATAAAACACAATACAAAAGGGGCCTGGATAAAAAAGGTATAAACTAAGTAATAGTAGTAACTTGATGTCAAAGTTGACGTCAAATAACTAAATCAACCAGTCTGTGCGCCCCTCATGACGTCACACAAACACAAACACACACATGTACACAATTACTTGCTCAGCTCACGTATCCGTCTTGACTGCTCAGTTATCATCTTTGCTCCTCTAGGCATCGCCACCATCACTATCCGGGCGGACAAAGCTGCGCTGGGGATCATTGGGATAGAAGAGGCCTCCAGGAACATCCTCATTGGAGAACCTCAGGGAGATTACAACGGCAGTGCAGTGGTCAGGTGAGATGGACTTCAAACTAACCTGGGGAAACAAATAAGAGAGGTTTATTAATCAATAATGTCATGTTTAAAATCCTTGTGTATATCTGTGTTTCCTCCAGCCTGGTGCGGGGTCCAGGTGTGTTTGGAGAGGTCCTGGTGTACTGGAACATCACTCCTGCTGCAATCTCTCAGTTTGAAGAGATCTCTGGCACTGTGACTATGAGAGACAGACAGTCTGCTGCCACCATTACCCTGAAGGTACTGCATGAAATAGATTTCACATTTTGCAAGAACAATGGATAGGATAACATAAAATAGTACTTTATTGATCCCAATTTGGGAAATGTTTGTGTTGCAGCAGCATAAAAGACATGGCATTGTACAATACTAATTAAAAAGACTAGAAATAAACAAAAAAGTAGAAAATATATATGAAGCAAGTTATTATATATACGTAAGTATGATATGTCAGTGTATGCAGAATATACCCACAGACCAAGATGCATCACAATGTTTTGATCTCTATAAAATATGTCTGTGTCATATCTGTCATGTCTGCAGGCTCTGGATGATGAACTTCCTGAAGAGAGGCGTGAGTTCCAGCTCACTTTGACCTCCGCCACCTCGGGCCTGGAGATCAGTCCCATAGCAAAACACGCCAGGATTATAATGGCCGCCAGCGACAACCCCTATGGCCGGTTCTCCTTCACCCAGCACCAGATCATGGCGTCCGAGGAGGAGGGAATGGTGAGATCAACAACATGAGACTGATTATGAGATCTGCTACATGGTGGGAAGTAGTGGATTACAAATACTTTGTTACTGTACTTAAGTAC